TGCGAAAGGAGCAACACCCATGTGGGATGGTAAAACTTTCCAAATAAAAGCCAACACCAGAGGCTGGAAAAGGAGGATTTTTTGATGACTTAAACACTAAGGAAGACCTCTGACAGAAGACCACTTTTGTTTTTTTTTGCCCAATCTGCTGTAGAGTAAGCCTGGTCCTTGTTGCTTACAGAGATCGTGAACCCGCTCTAGCCCAAGGTAAATAACCTTTTAGCATACTACCATTGTATACAGACTTGCTTATTTGCTAGGAATTAGGTAGCATTTTGCATAATATGCATCTGCCAATCTTGCACTGTTTGTTCCTATAATTGTAACTGTATGTATAAACTGTTTGTTTAGTAAAAGCACATTAGTATACCACAGAGGTCTAAGCTTCCTTGTTTATAATGCAAAATAACATTACCAGACACCAAAGCAAAACAGTAGCAACAGTCTACCGCCTACAATGGGCATCAGAACTGCACCACGGGCAATGAAAGGTGGTGGCCTGGTCTAATGAATTTGAGAATGGTGTGAGGAACAAAACATTGGTTTTTGGTGTTGACTTGGGCTCCAAATTCTTCCAGTTTCGATCCAATCGAGCATCTGTGGGATGTGCTGGAAAAACAAGTCTATTCCATGGAGGCCTCATCTCACAACTTATAGGACTTAAAAGGATCTGCTACTGACGGCTTGGTTCTAGATACCACAACATACTTTCAGAGGTCTAGAGGAGTAAATGCTTTGATGGGCTATGGCGGGTGGTCATAATGTTATGGCAGATCAGTGTATGTGACCTGATTTATTTACTAAATGACAATTCTATTTAATCTCATGATCCAGATGCCACTACCAAACAAATATCAAGGTCTCCATCCTCCCTACAGAATATACAACACTGCAGTTAATCAATATGGTGTAGTTCTCTTTTTTTGGTTGGGGGGGGGGGGGATTATGAGAAATGGCCCTCCCCAAACAGGAAGTGACATACATAATTATATATTACAGTGTGATACTAGAAGTTGACAGTAGAGGGCAGTGGATCCGTGTAAAGAAACCACCCCAAGGTTGTGTCTGGATTGCGAAAGTGAAACTGTACACTGAATAGGTCATTCCTATCACATTCCTCTCCTGTATGAAAAATCAAACTGTTTGAATAGCAGTATTGTTCACAGCAAAAGTCCTGGCTGGCTAAGGGGCCGATCCTCCTTCTCCCAATTGGAGTGTTCATATACAGGTTAGAAATAATATCAATCCAGATACTTATGTCACCATTGGTAAAATGCATTTCACGGTTAAAAGATTTAAAGTAACAACATATGCTGTATACATTATATGACATCAGCATTGTGAAAGCAAAACAAACAGTGGTTATTTTTGACAATCCAGTATATGCTTCATTGAAAGTTTGTGGACGCTGCCTTTTTGTTGGCCATCTTTTTCAACAATTTCCTGGATTCCCTGCATGCTTTGCGGCTCTTCTTTGCTTTGGCGGGTTGGTTCTGAGAAATGTGTGACACAAGCAGTGCATATTCCCAAGGCATAGGTATAGATGATATATTTGGCTCTAAATGTTTGAAAAGGTTGTTAGGCTTTCCATGTGAAATGGTGTTCGCTATATTCTTGTGTGCATATTTTGAACTAGTTTGGGGTGTTTTAATCCAAGAACATTTGGTTCGATGTATTTTATAAATTGATATAAAAAGTAATGAATGTATTTTAATATTATGGTCTCCAATGTGGTACTAGTAAAGTCCACCTATTAAGTTTTCCCAGTAGAAAAGCCCCCAACAGCTTGACAAGCTGTGTGCAGGCTTCCCTTTAAATTGAACAGAGCAGCCCATTTATGTGCCGGAGACAAGGTACAGGAGAGAGATGACTTTGAAGAATTGCTGTGTAACACTGGGCAAGCTGCATAGCAAAGATTGCTTAGAAGCTGCATTTAAAATAACTATTATGATACCACTGGCAATGCATTAAAGCTGCACTTATCTTTTAAATTGGGTTGAATTTAATGGAGAATAGTGAACATGATCTGCGCACTCTTTTAGGGACAGTTTCTGTCAGTGGTTCTATTTATTCTGTAAAAGTCATTAAACACATTACCACTATATACAGTATGTATGGCATGTAAATAAGTCTTGATAACTATCAAGGATAATATTGCAACCTTCTCTGAAGACATTCTAAACATCAAGGGCCCAGTTACACTACTGTGCCTTGAAACACAGAAAATACAGTTGTGGTGGTTGTTGTGCTCATTTAAATGGCATTCCAATGTAATGTACCTAAGTAGTGCTGGACAATTCAATGAACACTTTTTGTTGATGTAAAGTTTGTAATTGTCCACCTACATAGAAAATATCCTCCCAACCCGTCCACATTCCGTGGGGCTGCCCTGAAATTAAAAACACAGACCCGCCATCCCATGGATTGAGGTCATGTCCCAGAGTCAACTGCAGGACACGATTATTAAATAGGATTTATACAGTGCCAACATCGCTTTACTATATAAAGGGAGACAATACAGCAATGATACAGTTCAATACAGAATATATTGACCTTGCCATTGTACAGCTGATTGCCATTTCTATTACAGGTATATCAGCACTCTCCCCAGTAATTTAAAGCACAGCACATGTATGGTGTAAAGACTGAAGGATCCATTAAACAAGGGACAGTTTTCTCTATGCAGACTTGCCAAAACTGCAATAACAGGAATTCTACAGGGACAAATAGTCATAATATGGCCTTGGAGTTGCAAAGGTCAATTCAGTAACAATGTTTTTCCTAACAAATATGTCTGATGCACATTTCATTTATCACAATTCCTCTGAGATTTGTATGCATTTTATTACTGGATTCACTCTCCATATGTGAAAACTAGCTTGGTCTAACAGAAGTCCTGCAACATACGTTATTTTCCACATTTTGGGTCATACTTAAAACATTTACACTCTCAGCATGTTCCTATCCAAACACAAAAAGCACAATATAAACCGTCTTCACAGATATTTATTGGTAGTTGCCTATTAATTGTGCATCAATACAATATTTCATTACATTGCCAATATTTTTTTATCCTGATGGCCAGGTTTAGTTATGCATTTTTACTATGAGTAAGGCCCCCGTACATACAGGCATGAACAGAGCCCTCATCGAATAAGAACAGAACAGGATGGATGGTGTTTTTGTGACATCAGTGTTTTATTTATTAGATCTATGGGTGGCGTTTACATAACACTACCTCTAATCAGTCATGCTTAGGTCAAAAAAAAATGGACAAAGTCATCTGTGGGAAGTCCTGTGCTCTGTGTGCACTTGTAAATGGTTCCCTGCAAGTGAACCATGCCCAGGGACCCTGGTTTTCAAGTGGTCTAAGGCAGCCTTTTTCAACCAGGGTGCCCAGGTGCCCTGCGGTCTCTTCAGGGTGCCTTGGCAAAATGTCTAAAAATTGCCCAAAATGTATACAAGTTAGCGGGTGGATCAAGCCTGCCTTTTTGTTACACAAAACCACAGGTTTTCATTGTGCACCATTATGACCTTCTAGCCATCGGCATCCTGACAACCAATGACATCAGTTGATAAGCAGGATGTCGGTTGCCTGCAAAGCATCCTTGTTTGACCCTCTTGCTCATCTACGTCAGTGCTGGGGTCACATTAGCTGAGTGGAGGGAGAAGAGAAACATTGAAATACTAGTCAGTACTGGTATGCAAAAGTGTATTTGCTTTGGAAGAATAAATTACTTCTAACATTGGCTTTCCTACATGTGTGAATGTTGCTGCATTGCACAAAACTATTAGAATAGTGTTTTTACATTTTAGAATAGGGTGCCTCAGGACGGTCCATAGTTTTAAAGGGGTGCTTTGACTGAAAAAGGTTGAGAAACACTGGTCTACAGTATGGTACACGTAAAGGCATGGTTCAGAGCACTAACAGTACTCAAATGAACCGGACCAAGGGTGTGAACTGTGCCCAGGACTAGATACGACTGCCAGTGTAAATGCACCCTCAAATAGAAAGTGATGGTAGAACAAAATGGTTTTGATCACCAGACCAAGATGCGAAGGTAAGCTTTCCGAAGGGGACATCTGTTTTAATGATAACTGTGTAAGGGAATGCCCTTCACTTTTGGGAGATTTCCTTTCACTGCCTGTTTTGTTTCTAGGAAAGGAAGTTAAGGGGAATATCCACAATGGGACATAGATGACAAAATTAACTCAATAGGGATTTTAGTACTTCTCTGGTCTATACAAAACATAAAAAATATTTTGTCTACACAAACATTTTAAAAGGTGGTATAATAATTTTTCACATAGCCATATGCTGTAAAGGATTTAGTGTAAAATACTGTATATATGTAACCAAGTTAAACAGCGTAGTGAACTGCTTTAAACCATTTAGTAAAACTAAGAGGCCTAATTATGAATGGTTTGACCCAAGATTCACAGATGATTCACTTGGAAAAAAGTGTGACTAGACCCCTAAGGGTTAAGAAGTTTCACCAACTTAAGGTATAGATACTTGTTTGTTGGACAATCAAGTATCAGAACACCTAGATAAAATCAGGTTTATTACACATGAAATGGTCATTGGCCAAATGTTGCACTCTTGTGTTTTATCAGAAATAATCTGGATATGGTGGTGAGTGTCCCGAGTTCCCTAAACTTTTGAATAAATATTGGACTTCTTGTAGCGGTGGCACTGGGATCAAGGTTACGCCAAAGTGCTAACGATCTTAGCTCTCATTTTAGACCGTTTGTTGAGTCCTCCCAGGCATGCCTTCCTCAGGAAGCATACATATTTTTCCTCGTTAAGTCCTGCCATGCTTTTGTATTTCAGCTTACATCCACAACATGTAGGTGAATCAACTTCCAATACAAAATTGCTCATGAGCTGGAATGTACATGATTGGGGTAAGGGCATCAGCCTTCAAACTACTTTTAGGGAATAAGAAACTCTTGTACACCTTTTTATAAGTACAGCACTGCAGGATATGTTCATGCTGTATAAATACAAAGTAAAATTATGTATCTATAGCCACACAACTACAATAACAAATACAACACGTTTACCGTATTTTCGCTCTATAAGACGCACTTTTTCCCCCCCAAAAAAGGGGGGAAAATGTCAGTGTGTCTTATGGAGCGAATATAAAGCGGCCGGTCCGGTATTTCTGCCACCACCATGTCAGAATACCGGGCCGGCCGCTCAGCTGTTCTCTCCTGCAAGGCCTTACCTGTTCCTCGTTCCAGCGCTGCACAGTCTTCCCGCGCTGGCTTCTGTGACAGCCGGGTGCCCACTGCGCATGTCCTGCGCTTTGTGAATGATCCGGTGTCTTCTGGGACACATGACAGGTCCCAGAAGGCGCCGGGCGATTCACAAAGCGCAGTGCTTCTCGCGCATGCGCAGTGGGCACCCGGCTGTCACAGAAGCCGGCCCGGGAAGAAGAGGGAAGGACAACTCTGCGGAAGTGGGAGCGGGTACCTGTCAAATTCAGGTACCCACTCCCCCTCCCTCCCCAAAGGTCAGCAGTCTCTGGTCATCCCTGCACTGTGTCCGCAGTCTCTGGTCATCTCCTGCACTGTGTCCGCAGTCTCTGGTCATCTCCTGCACTGTGTCCGCAGTCTCTGGTCATCTCCTGCACTGTGTCCGCAGTCTCTGGTCATCTCCTGCACTGTGTCCGCAGTCTCTGGTCATCTCCTGCACTGTGTCCGCAGTCTCTGGTCATCTCCTGCACTGTGTCCGCAGTCTCTGGTCATCTCCTGCACTGTGTCCGCAGTCTCTGGTCATCTCCTGCACTGTGTCCGCAGTCTCTGGTCATCTCCTGCACTGTGTCCGCAGACTCTGGTCATCTCCTGCACTGTGTCCGCAGTCTCTGGTCATCTCCTGCACTGTGTCCGCAGTCTCTGGTCATCTCCTGCACTGTGTCCGCAGTCTCTGGTCATCTCCTGCACTGTGTCCGCAGTCTCTGGTCATCTCCTGCACTGTGTCCGCAGTCTCTGGTCATCTCCTGTACTGTGTCCACAGTCTCTTGGCATCTCCTGTATTGTGTCCGCAGTCTCTGGTCATCCCCTGTACTGTGTCTGCAGTCCATTGGTTCAGAATATTTTTTTTTCTTGTTTTTCGCCTCTAAAACCTAGGTGCGTCTTATGGTCAGGTGCGTCTTATGGAGTGAAAAATACGGTATATCCCTCACAATAATTTGTAATTTGACAAGGTGATGCTCATTTATCAACATAATACAAGCAATATTTTTTGTTTGCTAGTATGACAAATTTGTGTGCATTAGAACAGGGGTCAGTGCTGCCTCCATCTACAGCTAAATGCTAACAGGGTACGCTCCTGAGCAATGAAAGAAAAAGGCATCAAACAGGCAGGGCATCTCTGATCACACATACGGTATTTTTGTTATATTTTTTCTTTATAACCTGCAGATGTCACTGTTGCCTCTGCTGTCTTAAAAGTATTTATTTTATGACAAAAAAACAATAACAAAAACTACAGATATTGTTATAGCTGAAAAAGAACTAAGTATAAGAACAGATATTTCTATGCTTTATTTGTATTAAGAAGGAAATGAAAGTGTGTATCTAGCCCAATAATTCAGCACTCTGTTACGCTCATGCAAAATTTTAGCTTATGAAATCCCCTAAAACACTACAGCATTTTCCTCCATTTATTATGTTCTCAGCATACTGAGCAGCATTTTCAGGGAACATAAAAATTATCAGGTCCACCCTAGGAACCTACAAATGCGGACCTCTGTCACACAAAAATACACGGCAAATCTGTACAAAAGCCAACTGACCTATCATTATACACTGCTCAAAAAAAATTTAAAGGAACACTTTGAAAACACATCAAATCTCAATGGGGAGAAATCTGCTGGATATCTATACTGATATGGACGGGGTAATGTGTTAGGAACTTAATGACGCCCCATTGTTTGATGGAAATGAAAATTATCAACCTACAGAGGACTGAATTCAAAGACACCCAAAAATCAAAGTGGAAAAAAGGATGCAGCAGGCTAGTCCATTTTGCTGTAATGTCATTGCAGATACTCAGAATGGTCCTCAGTAGTTTGTATGGCCCCCATGTGCTTGTATGCATGCCTGACAACATCAGGACATGCTCCTAATGAGAAAACGGATGGTGTCCTGGGGTATTTCCTCCCAGATCTGGACCAGGGCATCACGGAGCTCCTGAACAGTCTGAGGTGCAATCTGGCGGCGTCTGATGGACTGAATCATGATATCCCAGAGGTGTCCTATTGGATTTAGGTCAGGCAAGTGTGGGGGCCATTCAATGGTATCAATGCCTTTATCCTCTAGGAACTGCCTGCATACTCTCACCACGAGGCCGGGCATTGTCGTGCACCAGGAGGCACCCAGGATCCACTGCACCAGCATAGGGTCTTACAATGGGTCCAAGGATTTCATCCTGATAGCTAATGGCAGTCAGGATGCCATTGTCTAGCCTGTAGAGGTCTGTGCGTCCCTCCATGGATATGTCTCCCCAGACCATCACTGACCCACCACCAAAACGGTCATGCTGAATACAGGCAGCATATTGTTCTCCACGGCTTCTCCAGACCCTTTCACATCTGTCACATATGCTCAGGGTGAACCTGCTCTCAACTGTGAAAAGCACAGGGCGCCAGTGGTGGGCCTGCCAATTCTGGTGTTCAATGGGAAATGCCAATTGAGCTCTATGGTACTGGGCATTGAGCACAGGGCCCCCTAGAGGACATTGGGCACTCAGGCCACCCTCATGAAGTCCGTTTCTGATTGTTTGGCCAAAGACATTCACACCAGTGGCCTGCTGGAGATAATTTTGTAGGGCTCTGACAATGCTCATCCTGCTCCTCCTTGCACAAAGGAGCAGATAAGATGGGTAGGGAAAAAAAAATGTTAGTGGCCTCCACCTGTAAAGCGATTCCTGTTTTGGGGGTCATCTCATTGTGTCCATCTAGTAAATCACTTTCATCTGCTTTGGTGCTAATGAAATTAAATAACCGCTTCTGCTACTTAACTTACCAGATCAATATCCCAGGAGTTTAATTGACTTGATGCTATACTCTTGATTAAAAAGTGTTCTTTTAATTTTTTTGAGCAGTGTATTTTTGGGTTGTAGAAGGAAAACTGGTAGGTTGCAAAATGTTTTAACTTCCCAGTTCATAATTTGCAATACATATTTTGGGAAAATAGTTATATTGCTTAAAGTGATTCTAAAGGCTTATTTAAAAATAAATAAACAAATGGGTCTATACTTACCTGCTGTGTGTAGTGGTTTTGCACAGAGCAGCCTGGATCCTCCTCTTCTAGGGTTCCCGGCTCTCCTGACCCCTCCCTCCTTTCGGGTGCCCCCACAGAAAGTAGCTTGCTATGGGGGCACCCGCTGCTCCATGTGTCCATTCACACAAGGAGCCACAGCTCGGCCTTGCCCCCTCTCTCTTCTTATTGGCTCACTGGCTGTGATTGACAGCAATGGGAGCCAATGGCTCCCGCTTCTGTCTCAGCCAATGAGAAAAGGGAGTCCCGGGATAGCCGAGACTCCAGTGCACATTGCTGGCCCTAGAGGGAGCTTACGTGAGTATTAAAGGGGGATGGGGGGAGCTGCTGCACAGAGAAGGTTTTTTACCTTCATGCATAAAATCTATGAAGGTAAAAACCTTGAGCCGTTACAACCAGTTTAAATTTATACAAAAAGGATATGTCCACACAATAAAATTGTAATTGTGCCAGTCTGACAGTAAATCTTACACAGGACTACAGAGATCAGCAGAAACCAATATAAATTCATAAATTTGTCCAGTCAGATTAGAAAGATTTATACTTAGAACCAGGATTTCTCATTTATTTAAAGTGGACATATCAGCAGATTTACAAGTCTGCATTCTTGAGATTACTCTATATAAGGAAAAGCTGTGCCATTTATTATTAAAACATAGTCCTTGAGCCTTGGTCATGTGCTGTGCCTAAAAAAAAATAAAAAAAAAAAAAAAAAAAAATCTAGGAGGAGAAGGATATCATCAACCAGGAGGAAATATTTCCTCATTCTCCACTCCACAAGTGAACAAGCTATAAAAAATTGTAACTCTGTAGCAAGTCAAGTCAAAAGGGAAAGAGTGCACCAGGGACTGATCTGTGTCCAACATGTGTGAACACTGCCAAGAACTGCAAGGGCCCCCGGATTTACATGATGGTGTCAACTCTGACTCAGCATCCCAATCCAGAAAGTCAATGTTGACCCTGGATAATACCTGAACAAAAGTGATTCCATCCTTCTGGAAATAAAGGTGAAGTCATTGTCAAAGGGAGTAATGGATATCTCTGTGAGATGCAATAAGTAAGAATTACACTTGCATATTAATCATCATATATGCACTTAAATATGTAAACCCAACATTTCATATTCCTGATGTACCATGTACTTGTATGAAAAAGTATCCTGTTCTCTTTGTATTGCTTCCTGTAAGTCCTGCTGATTTCCTATTAAATCTGACTGACCACGCTGTGCTCTCATGCCTAGTGTGTAGTTTCTTGGCTGAACTGAGAACTCAGCCTGCTCTGCTGCAATGATCAAACTCATACTGTCAGCTCCCCCCAGCTATTCACTGGGAAGACCAGTGTAACGTTATCTCCCCTCCCCCAGCTCTCTGAGCTCCTTATGAAGCTGAGAACAGAGGGTATGTGATCACCTATAATAAAAATGTATATATTTTATTTTTTTAAAAAGGTATACATACATGTTTTACCTTTCATTAGTATTTTAAATGGAATAGGTTGTTTTACAAGGTGAGGGTTCACATACATTTTAAAAGTGGTTGTAAAGGCTCAAGGATTTTTTGTACCTTTAAAAAAAGGTATTGCCTTATTATACCTAATAAGGTGTAAATTTGACCAGCCTTACCTTTACATTTTAAATCTTTATCTCCCAAATTCCCCTTTACTGCCAGTTGTGAAAGTTTGGGTGTCAGCTCATTTCTACAGTTTATCGAATGGAAAACTTGATAGAACTGCTGTGAGGAGGCTGAGCTTTGATTGTTCGCCCTCCACATCACCCAGGAAAAAAAACATGGAGGGAAGCAGTGTAGAAGACCCCTAGAATGTCATATGCCAGAGTGGCCAGGTGAGCTCGTTTCTAGCACCTAGTGCAAGAAAACCAACATAAAAGCAAGTGAGCCATGTGATCTAGGATTCAAAAAGGCTTTAAGAGTTGTATATGTATATATACACATTGCAATTTGGGGTATAGTAATGCTTGAGGTGATTGTAGGCGTATTAGTGCATTTGCGACACAAACAATTGAGTATTGTCTGTGATACTTTTTTTATTTGCACTAACATACAATTTTGAGGACAAGCTTTCGGGGTATGTCCCCTTCTTCAAAGTCCAAGCAGTACTGCTTGGACTTTGAAGAAGGGGACATACCCCGAAAGCTTGTCCTCAAAATTGTATGTTAGTGCAAATAAAAGTATCACGGACAATACTCAATTGTTTCTGGGGTATAGTAATGGAATACTTCTAAAATCTGCTTGGAGTTCAGCACTGCATGAACATGAGCATGGAAATATACTGACGTGGTGCAATGTTTGTAGATTTATACACAGTGTACAGTGTGTCTGTTCTGTATTTATGGTCAGCCTCAGAGTAGATTTCGCAGTGTGAATAATTGATAGAAACTTTATTTAAAATTACCAAACAAAATAAATGCTCATATTAAATTCAGTCACCTCTACATTATTAATAAATCATGTGCATTAACTCTGCGCTTTTTATTAAACTGCATCGCCGTCACTTCGAGTTTCGTAATTACCAGAAAAGTGAAATGGGCAGGAAGGATTGCGTCTACGTAGGGGTCAGGAACTTTGCGGAG